TTTTGATATACATGTAAATTTTGAAATGACCTTGACAGTCTTGAAGAATACTAATTAGATATTCTGTAGCATGTCTCCCAATCTGGGCTTGTCTGTTGTTTTTCTCAGGGTTAGACTGGCTTATGTGTATCTTAGTCTGTTTTTTGTTTCTATAACAGAATACCTGAGACTGAGTAATTTATAAAGAACGGAAATGTATTTTCTCACAGTTCTGAAGGCCGGGAGTCCAAAATCAAATCACCAGCATGTTTGGTGTCTGATGAAGGTCCAGTCTCTCCTTCCAAGATGGCTCTTTGAACACTGCATCCTCTGGAGGGGAGGAAGACTGTCCTCACATGGCAGAAGGCAAAAGGGCAAAAAAGGGAACTAATGCTGTGTCCTCAGATGGCAGAAGAGAGCAAACCTTTTTTTATTTTTTTATTTTTTTCCCAGCAGCTGGCTGGTACAGGAATCTGAACCCTTGACCTTGGTGTTAAAACACCATGGTCTAACCAGCTGAGCTAACCAGCCAGCCTCAAGCCCTTTTTATAACAGCATTAATCCATTCATTAGGATGGAGCCCTCACAACCTAAACATCTCCCTAAAGGCTCTACCTCCCAACACTGCCACACTGAGGATCAAGTTTTTAATGCATAAATTTTAGGGGACACATTCAGACCATAGTAGTGGGTTTTGGGAAGAAATACAACAGAGCAAAGTGCCCTTCTTGTCACACTATATTAGGGGATAGGTGCAATCCATGTGACATCACTGTTGATGTTAACCCTCACCACTTGATTAAGGTAGCATTTATCAGGTTACTTCAGTGTAAGTTACTATTTTCCGTTCTGTGTACTCTATTCTTTGGAAGTTGCTTTTTTATTATTGTGAAAACAAGTCACCACATCCAGCCCACATTCAAGAGTAAGGAAATTAGGCCCTACCTTTTGAAGAAAATGTCAAAGAATGTGTGAACATATTTTAAATCACCACAATACACTCTGTGGCCAGAAATTATTTACATTCATCCCAAATGCAAAATACACTCACTGCCCCCCTTCTAATATCCTGTAAAAATCTCACCTTTACTGTATCAGCTTATAGTCCTGGGTACTGTCATTTAAGACAGGTTCAGGTTCGAATGAGGTTCCTCAGGTGTGGTTCCTTAATTTTAGGTCCATGAATATACTGCCTCTGTATCTGAAGACCTGTGAAAATAAAGAGGCAAATTATCTGTCCCCATGTACCTAAGATACAGTGGTTGAGCAGGCGTAATTTAAACACTACAGGCATTCTTGTTCAAAAGGAGGTGGCACAAAAGTGTCTTTATTACCAGTTCTGAAATTCAGCTGATCACAAGTTGGTAGTTCCTTGCTTAGAATTCAAGGTCTGGGAGTAATTCTCCATGGCTCTTAGCTCTGCCTGCCTTCTGGGCTTTTGGTTGTGTACCTTGAGTTATCCTTCCTTTTCTATGAAAAGTAGGCTGGGTTTACTGCTGTGTAATTTCCTCTACCCACTTCCTGCCTGTAGAAGTTTGGGAGTCTGAATGTTTCTTTCTTTCTTTTTTTTTCTTTTTCTTTTTTTTTTTTTTGGTACTGTTTCTGTCCCTTTCAGTCTACATGGGCAGTGTTTCTGCCAATTTAATTCTCTTCAAACTTTGTGAATCTCCTGTAAATCGTATTCGGGGCTCTCTTCATTAGACAAAAGCCACATCTAAAAGTCACTTTGGGATAAGCTATTCTCTCTCTTGGGATTTTGCTTGAGGGACAATGGCTTTTAGCTTCTTATAATCTACTACTTGATTAAAGTAATCTGTAAGTCATACTTTTAAAGTCTTTAAAAGTCCTATCTTAGATCTTCTGAGGTTCTAGCAAAAAAATTTTATAGTCAGCGTCATCTTTTAGACCATATTTTCTTGGCAATGCCTTGGATTTGAACTTTTTCTTATTATAATATTATTTGTATTTGGAGAAACTGGGAATCTTCAAAACAGCAAGTTCTGGCTCTTTTTTGTTGAACTATTCTTGAGATATTTACTGAGAATTCAGAAATTTGAGTCTGTTTCAGTGGTGAAGGCTTGGCAAAAAGAAAAAGAAAGGTCTGGGAGTCATAAGCATTTGTTCAGTGGAAGTTAGAGTGAAGAGATTATTGAGGAGCAGGAGGAAAGCTAAGGGTGAAACTTTGAGAAATGTGCACTTTTAATGGGCAAGTGCAAAAAAGACTGTAAGGGAGGCAAGGTTGAAGGGGGTCAGAGACAAATTGGAAAAATGGAAAGTATAAGATCAGGGAAGATAGGGGAGCACTGCCTCACTGACTTTACATGGTTGGTTCAATGGAAAGTTTTCCAGTTTCTCTTTGTGTAAACTCTTTGAGTGAGATTAATACTTTTTATATCATGCAGTTAATGACATTAGCATGTAAGACCGGCCTAAAAGCACGAATCTTAACTTGATGGGAAGGCTCATCTCGCAAAGACCAGGAGGCACAGAGATCGATGCACAGGCAAGAGGTTTTATTTCCGGCATGCTGGAGGTCGCCCCGTTTTCAGGACAGGAGCGGCCCCGAATTCACAATGCAAGCAGCTTTTATACAGTTTTTTGAACGGATATTGTGATAGGATCAACTGTTGGTTATCTGTGGCGCTTTTAGATTTACAGGTGGGCTTCAGCTGGCGCCTTTTGGGTTTACAGGTGGGTTTTAGCAGGCTGGCACCCCTTTAGCGCATTTCTCAATTGTTTACCTTCCCCGGGGCCTTGCTTTGAACCAGCTATTTCCTGGAACCGGTGGGGGGCTATTAATGTTTAGTGCGCTTGGGCCTGGCCTTTGTCATGGCCCCTGATAAGCTGCATTGCTTATGCATTGTTACAAGACTGCGTACATTAAGGTTATATTTTCCTACAATTCTACTACTTATATTCTATGTCCCCCCTATATTTTAATTTATTTCCAACAAGCTTTTCTGTTAAGCTGAAGGATGAAAACACTATCTAGAAGCAAAGTTGAATATATAACTTTGCTGTCTATAGCTATAAAGAATGCCATAGAAAAGAATGCTATATGCTTAGTCAAGCATGCTTTAAAAATTGTGTCATTTGTCTTTTTGCTGCTGAGTTTTTCAGAGTTCTTTATATATTCTTGATATTAAATTTTTATCAGATATGCGATTTGTAAGTATTTTCTCCTGTTCTGTAGGATGTCTTTCCACTTTCTTGGTAATGCCCTTTGACACACAAAAACTTTATGAAGTTTATTATTATTTTTCTTTTGTTGCTCATGCGTTTGGTGTCAAATCGAAGAATCTATTGCCAAATCCGAGTCATGAAAATGTACCCATATGTAGCTCTTATATTTAGGTCATTGATCCATTTTGAGTTAATTTTTGTATGTGGAGTGAGGTAAGGGTTGAATAAATTTTTTTGTTGACCTGTATTTTAGAGTATGTGAACCCCAACCTGTGAATATATATCTGTTCTTATACATTGAGGACACACAGTGTCTAATTCAGGTTGAAGGTTATTTTATTTTTCTATAGTATAGTTTTTAATTTCTCTATTGGACCCTAAGAAAATTGGTTGAACTCTAATTTCTGAAATTTGTTTCTGCTTTTTTTTTTTCCTTTTTGAATTTTGATTATGAAGGAAGATAGTTGTGTTGCTTTGCCTCCCACGGATTTGTCACCCCTTTTCCCCTGGGTGATGGAGCCACCAAAGATTACTCAAAGCCCATCTCTTCTGAGCAGTGAGAAGCCCCCAAAGGGGGTTAATCTCCCAGAACCCTTAAGATAGAAGCATTCCTTCCATTTGGGAAATTAACCATGAATTGGGGTTCTCTTCCCGCATTTATTCTCCAGACCAGGAAGTTACAGGAAGAGAACATAGGTGGGGTTTTTTTCTCAGTACAGTTTAACAAGTTTAACAATAGAGCTGGTAACATTCAGTAAGAAAAGCAAGGTGACATTCTGTAATGCAATTAAGTGAATCCACCAACAAAAGCTTGATTTTAGCAAACATTCTCTTCTTATAGCAGTTTTCCAGTATCTTTACATATCAATCAGTAACCTGTCTGTCTTTGAGCCAGCAACCTTGCTGTGTTACAATTCTTTATTTTACAACAGAGATTATATATCCTGGGGAAAATTTCCAGTCCTTTTTTTTTTTTTTTTTTTTTTTCTTCTTTTTCAATTAGCATTTATTATTTTCTAAAATAAATTTTTTTTGAAGTACATTTTTTTCAAGATTTTTTTTTATTATTTTATTTTATTTTGTCAATATACAATGTGGTTGAAAATTTCCTGTCTTTTGCAAGGTCAGTATTTGAAACTGCAAGGCTTTGGAAAACTGGGCCCTGTGAAGTACATTTGTTTTATACATACTTCACAGTAAGTCAGGTATTCTAGGATGAGTCTTTTAATATCATTTAGTAGTGCTTCCGCCACTCCCCCCATTGAGTGGGAACCAGTGTATGTTGAGGCACTTGGTGAACAAATCCTAAAGGTGAAATATTTTTAGCAATCTGTTTAGATGTCTTTAATGCCCCAAACAGGCTAATATGGACTATGAAATTAGAGTTCAACCAATTTTCTTAGGGTCTGATAGAGAAAACTCTTTTCACTTTAGAGTTGAGACTCCATGACTCATCCAGAGTATTCAGGAAGAACAGAGTAGGAACTTATAGCCACCATGGCGAGTTCTGCTGCCCAGATGACTCCAGTGATTGTGGTTTTGTGTAGGAATCTTGGGAGAGGACAGGTTTTCAGCATGATCACTCTGTCTTTAAGCTTCTGTGCAGGACTGCAATGAAGTTTTATTTTTCCTATGTAAAAGGAAAATAAGTTGTTTTCTGAGAAAATAGAGATGACAGCTTTCTCTGAATTTTTGCAGGGTTGGGGCAGGGGGGGAGGGTCTTAATACCCAGTCTTGACACACTTTAATGTTATATACTAATTTAGCAAAACATTACTTTTAAGAAAGTTAGTTTTTAATGCTTTACCTAACTAGTAAGTCTTTCTTTTGTATTTCAGAAGCAATGCTATTATCCTTCTAATTGAAGATTTTGATGAAAACTAAATAGGCTTTATCAGCCAATTAACAAATCTATCAAAATAATGATACTAATAAAACTATCGGATGGATTATAAGATTTAAAATTACAGTTGTCTTTGGTGACTATTCTTTGAATACATTCCATTAATAAGATTTAGTCTTGGGCCGGCCCGGTGGCGCACTGCTACAGTGTGCCGCTTGGGAAGCGTGGCGGCGCTCCCGCCGAGGGTTCGGATCCCACATACAGACCGGCCGCTCACTGGCTGAGCGAGGAGCGGGGGCAACACCAAGGGTTGCGATCCCATTGCCGGTCCCGGTCTGGTACGGGCGCGACACTGAGGGTTGCGATCCGTTGCCGGTCACGAAAAAAGACAAAAAATAAAAAATAAAAAAATAAGATTTAGTCTTTAGTCACTTGTGATAATTCCTGATTCTGTTCTGACTATATGAACACTTGCTTGATGACTACTTTGTTTTATTTAGGTTTATTTTTACTTCAAGGGTACTAATGTACTAATAACTTGACAATTTTTTTTTGCTTCTGGGCTGCTTTTATCTAATTGTTCTTTCTTACGGATAGCATTCTGGTTACCAGAAGATAGAGGAAATTGGCTTCACCATCCAGTTTATAAGATGGGTATGAAAATGTGCTTCACTCTCCAAAGGCATGTACTAGAATTCTGTTTAGCTACCATGTGGTCACTCCATAATGATTATAAATGGTTATAGATAGAAGATTCATATATATGAGGAACTTGTGGATATCTATTCTACCAAAGAATAGAAATGTTAGTAATATTATGGGATGTACATACTTTTTAAATTGGATACACAAATCTGATGGTCGTACACTATAGACACAGCTACCAATTGGTATCAAGGTTGTAAGCCAAAGAGAATACAACAGGATATGTGTATTCATAAAGTTCACAGATTTAGATAAATCTAATTTAACTTTACTAAATCCTTTCTATTTTTGTCATGATATATGGTAGCTTTTTTACCCTCCCTTAAAATTTTTTTTATTATGGAAATTTCAAATATATATTAAAGTAGATAATAGAATATAATCTACCTATTATATGGGCATAAAGGAAAGAATATGATGTATTCATTACCCAGCTTCAAAAGTTATTAAGCCATAGCCCTTCTTGTTTTATCAATATCTTCTTGCCCATTAGATTATTTTGAAGCAAATTACAAAAATCATTTAATCTGTAAAAATTTTCTCTCTTTACGTATATAACCACAATACCATTATTGTATCTGAAAAAAATTAACAATGGTATCATAACATCATCAATCATCACGTCATTGTTAAAATGTCTCTAATTGTACAACTTTTAAAAAAGATGTTTTGGGCTGGCCAGTTGACTCAGATGGTTAGAGCGTGGTGAGAACAAGGTCAAGGGTTCGGATCTGCATACCAGCCAACTGCCAAAAAAAAAAGATGTTTTGTTCTGAAGTCCACACATTCCCTTTGATATGATCCCCCTGTCATGTTTTTCTCCCTTGCAATTTATTAGTTGAAGTACTTGGGTTGTTCATTCTGTAGAGTTTCCAATGTTCTGGATTTTGCTGATTGCATTCCGGTGGAGTTCTTTAGCATGTTTCTCTGACCCCTATATATCTTGTTAGATCTAGAGAAGAGACTCTTAATTTCTCACTATTGGTAATTTGTGCTGGATAATTTTTTTGTTACAGAGAGTTATCCTGTGCATTATAACATGTTTTTTTTTTTTTTTTCCTTTTTGTCTTTTTTCGTGTCTGGAAATGGATCGCAACCCTCAGTGTCGTGCCCACACCGGACCGGACCGGACCGGCAACGGGATCGCAACCCTCGGTGTTGCGCCCGCACCTCGCTCAGCCAGTGAGCGGGAACCGGTCTGTATGTGGGATCCGAACCCTCGGCGGGAGCGCCGCCGCACTCCCAAGCGGCGCACTGTAGCAGCGCGCCACCGGGCCGGCCCATAACTTGTTTAATAGCATTACTGGTCTCTAGTCATTAGATGCCAACAACACTCCCCTACCAGTTGTAACAACCAAAAATGTCTCTGGACCTTGCCAAATTGCCCCTGCCAAGAACCACTAATCTAGAGGCTTGATCAGATTTAGGTTCAGTTTCTTGGCAAGAATCCTTCATATGTGGTCATGGTGTATAGTGTTTTCTTCCTTTTTTATCTCCTTTGTCATATACAGTCTGTTGACAAACTATATATTTAAAATATTTCCTGAAGCTTTAGAGGCCTTAGTTTTAACATTTAGCATTTATTTGAGTATGTTATCTGATAATGTCCAAAATACATTAGTTACTTTACCATATATTTTGAATTTTAGAAAGAGCCAATATATTTTACAAAATATGAAATATTTTATAAAAATATTTAGGTACAGTGCACTAGGTGACTGTGTATCCTCTTAAGATTTTTTCATTTATAGACCCAGGTTTTGGGTTTCAGTTTATAGATGCAGATGATTCTCCTTATTTTATTATTAGATTAATAAAGTACCAATTATTTTAAAAGGGATGATTCTTAGTATCATTAAATAGAATTCCAAATGACTAATAAAAGGGAGAATACAGACTAAGTATACTTTTGACATTTTGTGAAACATTCAATTCTTTGTCTTCTGTTTATGTTAGTCCTTGACTCACTATTTTCTCTCTCTTAGCAATTGACGTTGGTCTCTTGACTTCTTAACAGACTATTTTTTTTGTTTTCTAGCGTGAGAACTTGCTTCTCCAATAAGAAAGCATATATTCTCCTTACTACTTTGTCTGCCTCCTTTTACCTTTATTTTCCTCTTAGGAACTCTGCTCAGTCTCTGTACTTGCCAGCTCTGGCTCAGGTTGGATTACCTTCACTTTCAGGCTTTGTTTACTTCCTTCTGTAAATCCTCACAATAGTTAGACACCATCAGCTCTAATTGTAGTGAACCAGGCCTCTATATGACACAAGACAAAATAAAATTAAATCCTAAATAAATGCAACTATGTTTAATAAGTACTTTTTAAATCAAGTTTACTTGAAAACACATATGCATTCAGTTGATATTGTTTTGTGTTTGATCCTTTAAGCACTCAACTCTTACTAAAGATCATAGATAATTTTTCCATCCCATGAATTGGCTTGATTGAAGCACGTTAAGAAGCCTGATACTCATTGGTAGGATATGAACTAAAAACATTATTTATCTCTAAATGTGAAGGTTTGCCAGTGAAGGTTCTTGGTAATTAAAAATTGACTAACTCATATCTGGTTTTTCATTTTTCATTAAACTGAAGAGCCAGGGTATCATCTTTCACTGGGCTCATTTTTTTCTCTGGAGAGTCTGTTGCCATTTATGTTAAACTAAATTTTGTTTGATTACTTATTTTCATGATGTCACATGTGCATGGAATTTCATTTTGAAGATCTTCACTTTGTGATTATTGGTGACTTTTAAAATAAAAAATGGCTTTGCATTCTCAGAAAGAGTTGGAATTTGATCTCTTATGAATTATAAGGAAAAGGCTTGTATGGTGGGATCTAGTGACATTTACCTAGATTATCTATGTCTGACATAGATAGAAACTTGGTTATTTTAGCTCACTTTAAATTTGCTTTTGAGAACATCTGCTATTGCATTAACAACAGTTATTGCTTCTGCTAAATGGTCTTTTTTACCACACTAGTCTACCTTTCCTTTCTGGCACTTTAGTGTGTATAACGCAATCTAACACTTAATTACATGTCCCTTTATAATTTGCAAGTTCTTTCTCCATACTCTTATTTCCCTTTTTACATTAAAAATTTTTTGAGTGCAGGAACTGTGTATTATGTACCTTTTACTGAACATCTAGAAAAGACTCAATATGCTTGTGATTGATTGGCAGATAGTTGTATATGAATTTTGTAAATTTGTCCTTAGGAAGAATTACTTCAAATCTGACTATGCCAGAAACCGTTGACTTATAGAAGTCAGAGTCATATATCTGCTTTGGTAGAAGCTAATACAGTCGTGTGTCGCTTAACAACAGGGATATGCTCTGAGAAACACCTCGTTACATAAAAGTGTATTAGAAGAAGGAACAGCAATGAATTTTCCTATTATCTACACTGGCGACTAGTTACATGAGTGTGAGCCCTCTAATTGTGTTACTAAGTCTTTCTTTGCCTCCCTTTCCTCATCTGTTAAATAGGAATTAGAATAATACTACCTGCAGAAAGTTTTGAAAATTAAATTACAGGTAAGGATTGTGCTTGGCACTCAGCAAGCACTCAGTGAGTATTAGCTAATTGTTATTAACTACTATTTTACTATGGGGCTGGGTGGTAATCATTTAAAAATGCAAGAATTCTAAAGCAGACAACAACCCTTTTACTTGGGGTTAGACCTAATGGGTCAAATGCTTAGCTTTTTATCTTAAAGGTCTGAGCTACTTTTGGGAGGGTCACCCCGTGAGTAAGCTAGGTGCTCCTCCTCAATGTATTTTGCAGTAGGTTTTTTTAACACCAGCGTCACCACAGAGATGTGAGTAATGCGTTGTTCTACAATGTTAAGAAGGCTGCTGCATCACTATATGATAGGAATTTTTCAGCTCCATTAAAATCTTATGGGACTATCATTGGATATATAGTCTTGACTAAAATGTCATTATGAGGCACATGACTGTACAATCCTATAGACCTAACCTTTTGCTGCTATTTTTCTGTTGGTTTAGCTTCCTTGAAACAGGGCATAAATAAACGAACATTACCTTCAATCTTACTTTCAGATTTTCCAGCCATTTATGACTTCTTTGTATTTGGTTACTGTTTTTTACTAACTTAAAAAAAAAGACATGGATATTATGGGACCTGATTTACTTCCCTTTTTCTTTGGAAACAAGAATATCTGGTATACAGAGTAATATCCTACCAAGGATAAATGAGGAAATCATAGTTCTAAGATGATTTCTGCTGATAGGATATGCTTTTATTTTTTTTTTTAAATTTTGGCAGCTGGCTTGTATGGGGATCTGAACCTCTAACCTTGGGGTTATAAGGCTATGCTCTAACTGA